GCTGCCGTCGGGGGCCCGCCGCGCGCGCCTCCCGCGGACCTGCAGCTGCGGGGCGGCCCGGGCGGGTGGGCACGCCGTTCCTCCCGCGCCAGCCCCGCGCCGTCTGACTCCAGCCCGGGGGAGCCGGGCGCCCCGCAGTCCCTGGACGGTGCAGCCGCGGGCCCGACCTCCGACACGGAGAGCTTCAGCCTGAGCCCCAGCGCCGAGAGCGTGTCCGGCCGGCTGGACCCCTACAGCAGCGGCAGCGGCTCGTCGTCGTCGTCCGAGGAGCTCGAGGCTGATCCGGCCCCGTCGGGGGCTCCGGGCCAGCCCCGCCTGCCCGGCCGCTCTGCGCCGTCCCGGCCCGGAGCGGGCGGCCGGCCGCCTTCCCCGACGGCCTCTCCGCCTCCGCTGCAGCCGAAAGCGCCGAGGGCGGCCGATGGCCCGGCAGGGGCCGCCCGGGACCGGCCGAGGGAGGAAAAGGCGGCTGCAGCCTCCGCCCTCGGCCGCCCCCAGTCGACCCCGGGTGGGAACGGGGCGGCCCCGGAGAAAGCGCCTCCGCCGCCCACCCTGTACGTGCAGCTCCACGGAGAGACCACCCGGCGCCTGGAGGCGGACGAGAAGCCATTGCAGATCCAAAATGACTACCTCTTCCAACTGGGATTTGGGGAGTTGTGGAGGGTGCAGGAGGAAGGCATGGACTCGGAGATTGGCTGCCTCATCCGCTTCTATGCAGGTAAGGGAATCACCTGTATTTTGACGTGCGGGCTGTAAACACTTCCAGATCCCGAGGAGTTGAGTGCCAACCAGGAGTAAACGCGGTCCTCGGCAGTCTTTGTTGCTTCTTTACAGCTTTCACGGACCATCTGTGTAGTAGTATATCGAGCAGTTTTAATACCCGAGACTTGCCGTCAGTCTTGAGGGCTCAGAGGTTGGGAAGCGATGTGGAAAAGGTGGCACAGCCACCAGGAAGTACAGGTGGCAGGTACTTCTGAGAACGGCGATAGGACTTCATGTTAACAGGGAGGGCACTTCCTTCAGGCCTCCCCTCCTGGGCACGTTGGGTTGGAGGCGGTTTGGGATTGCAGGTAAACGGTCTCGTGCACACAATACTGACGGGGGGGGGGGGGGCACATGAGCAACAGAAATGCTCTAGGTCACTCTTTGTGCAGTTGTCCCCGTTTGCCATTCTCGCATGACTCCCAGGAGCTCCTATCTCGTCATCCGGTTCAGCTGTCATGCTGTCATGCTTATTTGCCCACTTAGTCCTCGCTGGCAGATAGGACCCCTGTTCGTGAGACTTTTTCCCCAGAGCTTTTTTTTTTGCTTTATTTCGGTTTCACCTGCAACTTTGATTCTCCCATCAAAAGTGATGTGTCATTTCTTTTTCTCATTTCTGACTTATAGCCTTTCTAGCTAGATCTGACCATGACTGTGTGACTGGCCGCAGGGATCACAATAATATTTGAAGTGGTTACCATATCTTGAGATGTGATCTAAAATCTTCCTCATTCATTGATTCTTTTTCTTTCCTTTTTTTTTTTTTTCAGTTCCAGCTTAAAACTTTTTTACTTTTCTCTTTATTTTTTTCCAGCTTTTGGAGATACGACTGACATGTTAGATCTAATTCTTACTAGGGGTGACGAATGTTTCTCTTTTGATTAAAGACTTGGCAGATACCAAATTAGGGAGCTCTACATCCTGGGTGTTATATTGGAGGTTTATATTTGTTTGCATCTTTGCATGTTTCCTATCTTTTCCTTTCCAATTATGTTCTTAGTGATGAGAAATTTTACTTAAAGTTAGCATAATAAAATTAGAAGACTTAACTCTTCCCCAGCTTTACAATTCTAGTGTATAGGTGCTGGTGGAAAAGTAATCCTATTTGTAACTTGATTAATCTGTTGCCATTCTTTCTAATTTAATGTTTTTTTTTTTGGTCCAACTGGTGTCTTAGTGGCAGTTGAGTCAATGAATAAATCTTTACTCCCACACTGAAATATGCAAGACCAGGAGCATTCCGGGTGAGGTGTCTTTTTAAGTTTCACTGAAGTTTGAATATAACTCAAGTGGATTTCTGATGGATTTTTGTCTTCTAAAGAAAGCCATATCATGATATTATAGCATTTGTGGCATCTGAAGATAATATCTCAACTGAAAGACATGGCTTTAAAAGTTTATGGCCTAGAAAATCAGTGATTTTTTTTTTTTTTTTAATGTAGGAACAGCAAGTGCATCCTTATCTCCTGGAGCTCATGTGTCTTGTAAAATACTGTTATTTTACGAAAGCATTAAATGGTAATCACACTTGGAATGAGAATACTAACATGAGAATGATAAATGCCCTTATCACCAAACCAATTACGTGGAATGAAGTACTTAGAGAGGAAGGGATATGTAGAATAAACAGTATTGAACATTTTTTTACATAAAAAGCTCTGCGTCTCTTGTCCTTGTGTTGATCATGATAAATGTCTATGGGAAAGGTTTTGGGTGTCCTAGTCATGAAATTTAAATCTTTGATTCTCGTAATTACCTCTTCAAGTGTGTCTAAAATATTCTAAGTGACTGATATACAGTGGTTTTTGTTTTTTTTTTAAGCTTATCAATCTAAAAGTGACACATTTTCTTTCTGGTTAAGTCAAATTTCTGGTGTGGGCATTTTGATCTTTTTTGTTTACGAAAAGCAGCAGTTGTTTCTTAACTTGCTTCCTTTCTGTGTGCACAACATAAATACATATTTCTGTGTATATGCTTGTCAAAATGGCTAATAAAATGGGGGCGTCACACGCGGTATCCAACCTGTCCTTGAATATGAAGCCCGTGTACAGGTGTCCCAGAAGCAAGATGCTTGTTATAGAGGTGTCTGGTTGTTTGTTTTTTACACAGAGGTGAGCCTATTTTGAATCCAAGGTAATACATAAAATGTCTCTGTTGATATGCATTTGCCACAGAACTAAATTGCGCTGATGGTACTTGAACTTTTGCAAGGAAGCTTAGTGATTGATGAACAAAAGGGCCTTGTAATAAGGTGGTCTTACTTATTATGGGAACACCGTCAGGACTTCACAGGCAAATGAGGGTTTGTGCCTCGCTGGAGGAGATTCCTAGAAATTACCCTGGCGGTCGAATGAATGTAGTAGGACACCCAACAAGAACGTGTTACATTTTGGTAGTATTTCTTATCCTTAGGAAAAAGAGAATTAAAGCTTATTTTAGATAAAGGTGTCGCATGCCACATTTGTTTTTATAATTCTAGGTATGACTTTTAAATTTCTTGCTGTGTGTCTTTTTGTTTAGGTGTGTAGTTGGAGTTAAGGATAGATTAGGAAGTTGCCTTTGAAGCATTTTGAATACTTTCCTGTATTTAAATTGAACTCATTATCTGCTATCTAGTTATCTAGTTAGCTACTTTTTTTTTTTTTGAGAAGTTCTTGTTCAACCGAGAACTTTCATTCTTTTGAAGGTCACCTTTCAATGGGATTTTAGTATTTATAACTTGACTCAAGTTATTCTTAAAAGTCTTTGAAAGGCATTCGCAGTTGCTTTGAATATTTAATACTTATTTGGGTAAAGTAAAATGGAAGTCTTTAATGAGGTATAAGGTGTTGGACGAAAGGTGCTATCTAATTACAGAGTTGTTAATGAAAACTTAGTTTGAAAATTGTATCTTTCAAGCATTCTTTAAGCTGCTGATTTAAAATATGACAAAATTTAAGTGGCTGTATATGAAGTTACTGGTCTTAAGTATTTTAAGTATGTTAACATTTAATTTCCTCTTAAAGCTAACTATCTTAAATTTTCCTTGGAAGACAGTAATTTTAGGTTAAAAAGTTTAAAAATTTATGTGGCTTGACGTAAGTTATGGACTTGAAAACATTAATGAGCTTTGTGTTTTGGACTCCCCAGGGAGTCTGAGTGATTGGCCAAGGGCAGTGTTAAACTATATATATTTTTGACTCTGTTCTGCCACCTTTTAGATTTAGTGGTTTAGCTATTTCAGTTCCAATTGTAATAGTGGGAAAGGGTGTTGGCAGAATGGAGAGCACACCCACTGTGCCTAGTGAAATCTTGGACAAGATGTTTTTATGGGACTTTTGGGATTGCTCAGGAGAACAATCTCCTAACCCCTCATATTTCTTCTCTTTTTCTCTTTTGGGAATGATCAAACCTTACATGGTTTCCTGCATGGAAACTGAGACGGGGTGGTTCAGCATTAAGCTGTAATATTGACCAGCAGGCTCTTATTACTATAATTACAGCAGTATTGAGTAACGTGCTATGAACATGTGACACCAATGTGTGCTTGAACAGTCCTTTCAATTTTAAGAACAAAGGGTTTAACTTTAATTTTGTTGTTTTAGATTTACATTTTATATTTGTTTTTGGTATAAACTGCATGCTATCTTTTCCTTCGTAACTGTGGTTTGAGAACATCTATTAATATGTTGGGTTTTGTCATCTTCACAAATTTTAAAGGGCTTTCACATAAATTATCTTATTTGTCCTTTCAAAACCATTATTAGGGAGGAGTCGATGTCAGTCCTCTTTTCAGAGAGAGAAACGTGCACAGAGAGGTTTGCCTCTTGCTTGTGGTTTTCCAGTCCTTGGCAGAGCTGAGTATATAGAGAGCTGGGCTATTCTGTTTTGCAATTCATATCACTTTCCATGAATCGATGCTGAATTTCATTTACACTTGAATTTTTCAGTTGGTTAGAAGCATGCAGAAAATATGCTATTTTTGTTGGTAATGAGGTGATATTATCCTCTGGTCCAAAGTGGTATTCCTTATGAAATATTGATGGTCTTATTTTTTTATCATGCTGCCTTTGAACACCCAGAGTACCAAGACTGGCAAATTAATACGCAATACAGAAAGAGTACTATACTAAAGTGTTGTCAGTATTCTGGTTGCAAACAATGATACTTGCATTTAAGTTGCTAGGAAATGAAGTTTACTTAATGACTTTATTTTTTTTTTTATCTGACCATGCCTTATTTGTTAAACAGTAAATCTTTATTGGGTCTAGAAAATTAACACTTCATCTGAAAAGTGGATAACTTTTCAGGGTGGAGGTGTGACAATTCAGTTCTTTTAAAACATAGCCTTACTTGTAAAGTATTGAAAATGTACATCATAGAAGGTTTGCTTAAGTCTTTTTAGAATAGAATTACTGGTACTTTAGTGATAGTGCTTTTCTGGTGTTACTATGCTATTGTTATGATTATTTTTATCATTCATACATTATACAGAGCTAGAGAGTAAGCTCTTCTCCCTGAATTTCATTGTTGCTTCTGAAACTTCTAAAATGTGTGTCTTTTGTGCTGGGTGAAATAATGCAGGGAGAGGAGATGTGTGTAAGTTAGTTTGTAAGGTTTCCGGTTTAAAAGTTGTATCTTTTTGTTGCTCTAAGATTGTTAAATCAACCACCTTAAATGATTGGTTACCTCAAGGTCATTATTTTTTAAAGTGTAAAGTGTTTTGGTTTCTTGCTCTTTTTTTTTTTTTTTTTTTAAGAGTCCTGCATTTGATTTATTGGTAACATAACAGTCATTGACATTCTTTATGATCCAAGCCTGGTGTAATACTTGGCGTTTTAGTTTAAACATTTGTTGAATTGAATTTGTGGAATTTTGTTAAGCAGCTGGTGGTGCATGCCCTGATTCTTCAGCCTTCCATCCTGTTTGGGTCCCCAGGGATGCGTTAAACACACATACACGCGGAGGCATTTCTCC